ATTTAACCATGCGGTTATGTCACGACGAACATGCGGTGGGGCACCGGCGTGCTAATACCACATTCTTACTCTCGTTGCATACGGAACATCATCCAACACATTTTCTATTTAATTCTCTAGAAAAGCTAAACCTTTGGGGTTTCTGTTAGGAAATCTACGTTGATACTCTCGATACTCCAGAACACAGAAATAATGCCGACGTACTCATCATTGCTAAATTCCATTTCATAACACTCAAAAATGGAAAAAGGAAATTGGACACATAACTTTGACAAACTATCTCCCAAGAAACGTCAAATTGGTATCAAGGCCTCCTATTTTATTTTGAAACTAATTGTATCTCGTCTCTTCATGAATGATCTAATTTGTTTTATTTTTATTTTCACGAAAACCCTGCACTCTAGGAAAAAACGTAGCAAATTGAAAGTAAAATTCGACAGACTCTGCGTTTCGAAAAAAAAAACAGTGGCGTGCTATTTTTAATTGGAAAAATAGGTCCACCCTGTATCTCCGCCACTAGCGCACGTTAATTTTAAGTAAAGACTTTTGAATGTGAGTAATACTTAGGTAAATCCACATACCAAATTTTAGTTCATACTAGTTGACGGTTTTGAGGATATTAAAAAAATTATTTTTTATTTTTAAACAAGACCCCGTATCTTTTTAGTGAAGTCCTCGAGGAAAAAATGTTACATGGAAGGCGCCCCTTGAAATGCGGACTGTGTATGATGTTTCATTTTTAGTTACGATTTGTGAATCACCCTGTATATGCAAGTAACCACTAAAAATATGTATAAAATTTTTGATACATTTTCCTCCTACACAAGTAGTTTTTAGTCTTCTTCAGAAACAGAAAACATAAACACCCACTGACATAAGAATTATCTAATCTCGCACGTAACATATTAGATAATGCATTCCATATATTTTAAACGTACCTTAAATCGTCCAGATATCTAGGGTAAAATGTCTGAGAGAACTTCTCATTATATAATTATGACCTCTACCATATTGTCTACCATTTCAAAACAATTTTTAATATTAGAATAGCGTGCTGTGTGCTATATATTATTAAATTGTTAACATTTATGGGAACAGTGTAATGACTAATGAAAATCGATACAACGTTTTATGTGGCAGCTTTATTTTGCAGCACAATAAATGAATAATCTACATAATATGTCCAAGTAACCACTAAAAATATGCAGGGTGTTAGGGAAATAATATTCGTAACTTCAAGAGGTGATTCATTGCATTATTCTAAGCAAAAAAGTTAATTATAAGTTATGTCCGAAAATCAATCGTTTTCGAGGAAAGTAAGTCGTAAATAATTAAATTTTCTCAAACATTTGGCAACGCTGCAACGCAACCGCGATACGAGCGCACGATGTCCGCAACTGATTCATCGAATTATTTACGTTTATATGATATTTTTGTTGAAAATATGCCTTGAATAAATTATTGAATACTGTTGGGCAATTTGTTGTGGCTAATATTTTTTATTTAATAACGCTGTCAGTACAGTACACATACATACACACCACCAATTCCCACGGTTATCCGTCACTTATTTGAAACGATGCGATGAACGAAAAAAGAAAAAAACATCCCTAAATCACATAAAGTTACAATTAAATGTATTAGTAATCACAACAACACGCGATGATACATTCAGTGCAGGCGGAGTACGACATTGCCAGTTGTGCGAGGGATTTTGTTTATCTGTTTTTCTTCGGAAAATTGTATTTAATAAGCAAGAAAATTATTTTGTTAGAGACAGTTAATTAATAAATAGATGTATTGATACATTTCACGCTATTATTCATATGAATTTAAATTATTACGGTGCAAAATTAATTTATTTCATGACTAAAAAGAAATAAGTTCAGCATTTTTTTGCTCCGAAACGGTTGATTTTCGGACAGGTTATAATGAACTTTTTTGCTTAGAATAACGCAAGGAATCACCTCTTAAAGTTACGAATATTATTTCCCTAACATCAAATTCTTAATATATTTTATTCATACATAAGTAGTTTTTAATCTACGTTAGAAAAAGAAAACATAACATCGGCAGACATAAAGATGCGATTCCACCGGTGTGCTGAACTGTGCGGCACTCTAATGCACAGTGTACAGCACAAATGTTTCTTCTGGTCGACTCACTCACGCAAACAATAGCAAATTGTGCGCAAACATTTCGGAAACGTTCGCGCACATCAGTTACTTTTGTGCACGCGCACATGCAAGCAGTGGACTCGCGTCGGCGGATACGTACTTGTTGTTCGCGAACTCGGTATTGCTCCCGCTCCTGGAGTGAAAACATTTGTTTGTACGCGCACTTCTTTTACGAAATTGAAAATGGACTGGACGAATGATAGGATTATAAAATGTATTCAAGCAATTGAAACAGAAACAAAAAACACGACGCCACTCAAGAGTTGGCTCAAAGTTTCAATTGTGACTCGACTGAGAAAATGGAAGATTATTTTGGCTCGGTACCGAAGAGAAAAGAAGAAAATAGCGAATTCAAAATCTTCAGGATCTGGGTTTACAGATTTATTATTTGTTATTTTATATTGTTATCACAACTACAGTTTTTAACGCCAAGATCCGTTGCAAGATGTAATGTTACTTTCTTTTGCAGTCGTGCTAACACAAATTTGATTTTGAAATCACCTGAAAGGGTTATGTGTTTGAATTATAATAGTATTTGTAAGTTTCGTGACATATTTTTATGTTCTATTTCGGAGCTAAAATGTGTTCTGCGGGAGCGCCTTAGATATTTTTATAAGTTAGGCTTTTGTAATATTTCTAATTTAAGATTTTGCCCTATAAATGGAATATTATCTGTTGGGCAATAAAAGCTATAAATAAGCCTTATTGAAACAGGGACACATTTTCTGTAGTTGGTGTCTTGCTTTGCAATATGAGGACTAAGTGCATTGACCAGCAACTCAAAATCTTCACACGATATACGAGTAAAATTTTTAAATCCACTTAAGGGATCTACTTTTATTTCTTCAACAAATCTATTCGTTTCTTCATTCCATCGCTGCAGAAAAGGCCTCGTGGTTTTCTTCTTCGTTTCTTTTTAAGCAGACTACCTATTAAAACACAAGCTGCAGCACAAAACACAACGTATTCCCGCCCATCCATATTAAGAACTGGAGTTAGTGAGGACTTTGCTTTGTAAACATGTTCGTGCACAAATGTGCTACACTGTACGCTTACAAAAGTTATGCACTGCTTTGCCGATGGACACAGAAGATAAATTCGATACCAGGGAGCACATTCAATGCTGGAGTTTCACACAAAATGTTTGTAAACAAATGTGCTGAACACTATTTTGGTGGAATCGTACCATAAGAACTACCTGATTTCGCAAGTAACACATACAGTAGCGGACAAAAGATTGGATACATTCTTAGCACGTTAAGCGCCAAGCAAAATGCTTAAAAAATGTCCATCAGGCCAAAGCGCCAAAGTCATGTTTTCAACAAATTATGTGTCTGATCTACCGTCTATGTCAAAAGCTGACACACTACATGTACTGAAAAAAAGAAGAAACATCACATGAAATCAGACGGTATGTATTTTCACTGCAATCTTGTTTGTTTTTGTCAGACTTGTTGTGTAGATTTAGTAGGAAATAAATGATGTGAATAAAAAAAATTGAATAACTATTTAAAACAAAAATACACCAAAAAGTTGGCATATGGGTATAATCCACAGCGGACCATTTCTAACGCTAAAATGAATTTAAATATGGACCTCTGGCTGGAGCGATCGTAGAAATAAATTAAATACAAAGCGGTCCATACGGACCGCCGCGCCGTGGCGTGAAAGGCTCGTTGTCAAGCGGTCCCATGGGACCTCCATGGCGTTTCACGTGTTACTATTTTTTTAAAAGTGAGCTAATTTTTTATTCCTTATTATTAAGGACTATTTTTTTCATATAGTTTGCTTGCAGTCTTGAGACAAATATCTTCATATTATTTTATGACCAAAAAAATGAGACGACAAAAGTATGGAAACATATTTTTTATTACAAAATTAAATACGATAACTCTACAACAATATTTAAAAATTACCGCTTAGCAAATATTTGGTAGCATTTTTTTACAGACGTCCGTTGGGATATTTTGCCAAATATTTTTTATATAATCAAATAAATTGTTCCTATTTTTTCTTGTCAGTTGTCTTTAACATGCTCTCAGAGATCTTCAATAGGGTTTAAGTCCGAGGATTGCGAAAGCCATGTAAGCACATTAACATTTTTTAGTCTTAACCAGTCCTTTACGAATTTTGAGGTATGCTTGGGGTCATTATCTTACCGGAATGACCATCGTAAAGGCATTTTCTCTTCAGCAAAAGGAGTATCTTTGTAAAGTTTTTGATCCATTTTGCGAACAATTTTAACAATTGGACTCGAACTAGAAAGACAGCCCCAAACCATGATATTGCCTCCACCGTGGTTACTTGCTGGCAACTGATACTTTTTGTATATTGTTGTGTATTGTTTTTCCGTATTGGACGTCACACATATGCCGTATCATCAGATCCAAGCAAGTTAAAATTGCTCTCATCGCTCCATAAAACTGTATTCCATTGTTGCTCCGTCCAAGTTAGATGAGTTTTAGCAAATTCAGGCCGAGCAATACGATTTTTTTAAATGAGTGGCTTTTGCACTGGACGCCTACCAAAAATCCCAAAATCCACCAAGAGTCTCTGCACTATTCTGACAGAAAGATTCTGGGCACCCTCTTCTACGATTATGTTGTAAATCTTTGTGGCTGGTATTCGAGGATCTTCATGGGACAAACTTTAAACCTAGCGATTTTTCTGGTCTTCCGCACCTGTGTCCTGTGTCGCCTTGTTGTTGATCCGTATTCTTGATATTTACTAATAATTTTCGAAATCCTCCGTGTTTTCATTTTTAATCTTTGAGAAATATCAACATGTCTGGCACCACTTTTAAATAATTAATTTACTGTGTCTCTTAAATCTTTTGCTATTCTCATTGATGTTATTATTTAGCGAACGCATCAGAGTATCGCAGAACTGAAATGTTTCCATACTTTTGTCCTCACAAAAACTGTATTATTTAAAAAAACGCATGTCTTTATTTTCAAATAATTTGAATATTGATAAGATAAACTTTGCGTTAGTATGGGTGTCAAAGGTAGTTTTCCGTTTTTATATTATCTGTTCCTTCACAATTTTAATTTAGGTTTATGAAACAGTTCATAATAATGTTTTGTTTCAAAACTTTTGTCCGCTACTGTAGATAACGATATGTTTAAAATGTATCTAAGAACATGATTTTAATAGAAATCAGATACCTAGGGTAAAATTTCTGAGAGAATCTTCTTTTGCCTCGTGCTGATACCATCAGGAAACCCTATGTCGAAGTTAACAACTAAGTCGCCTCTTCTACTGGGTTCTTTCGGAAACGGCAACCCATGTCTGTAAACAAATAGAATAAAGTATCAGATACCTATCAACAGAAACGTTACATTTTAAAACGTCTGGCCGCTCCAAAGGCTGTCAGAAAATGATAAAGGATATTCGATACCTTGCTTTTAATACCAAATGATTCCGTACAGAGTTAAAATACAGGGTGTTTCAGTTTATTGTTGCATAACTTTAAGATTCGATAGAACTTTTAAAATTAATGCATAAAGTCTATATAAACATGGGTCGAAAAATGCGTGGCTTCCGAAATACAGGGTGTTTAAATTTACTTTCTAAAATAGTTTTTTTTTAAATATTTCGAACAATATTTGATGTATAACAGTGAAAATTGGTATACAAGGGTTTTTTGGTACGACAAAACGAACCATGAGCATAGTTTTACTGTAGCCGCTAGAGAGCGCTCTCTACTGTACCTGTAGTGTATGAAAATGACCGAAAATTTTTTCTTAGTGCAATTTTTTGCTTTTTGAATAAAAAAAATGATTCTTCGCACTTTTCAACATAAAAAAGCTCTCTTGTGAATTTTCGTTATATATAGTTAGCCGTTTTTGAGATATTTCGATTTTTAGGGTTCGATGCATTTTTAATTATTTATGATAAAATAACGTTAAAAAGTCAGTATCTCGATAATTTTTAGTAGTAAGCTGTGCCTACAAATATTTTTGAAATTGAAAGCAGAATAAGGTTAAACGTCAATTAGTTGACAGTTAGTTTTGTTGTCTGTTGAAACCTGAAACGTTTTTTTGCAATTGTGAATGCACGAAATTTAGTTTCTTTTACCTGGTTTTTTTTTTGTAAGTTTTATAAAAATGCCATTTTTATTCTCCAATCAAGAGTTAGCTGATATTCATTTTGTGCATGGCTTTGCAAATCGAAACGCAGAAGAAGCAGCCAGAGAATACGCACGAAGATTTCCAAACAGACGACATCCAACTCGCTCAGTATTTGTAAGAGTGCATCGCCAAATAATTGAAAATGGTTTTGGAAATCTCCAAAGGGATCAAAACATAAATGTTCGTCAGCGCAGATTTACCCGTATGATTCTGCGTGAGTTTGATAGAGATCCGACCACAAGTGTTAGGAGAGTTTCTGGTGCCTTGGGAATTTCTGCAAGCCATGTTCACCGTGTTCTTAGAAATGACCATAGACGTCCTTACCATTTGCAACCTGTGCAAAGACTACAGCCAGGGGACGGAGAACGAAGAATCACATTTTGTCAGTGGATTCTTGATAGAACTGATAATAATAGGGAGTTTTTAGGTAACGTTTTATGGACCGATGAGTCATGCTTCACTAGACGTGGAGTGGTAAATTTTCATAATCAACATATTTGGTCGCATGAAAATCCGCATGCAGTTCGGGAAAGAAATTTTCAGCATGAATTTAGTGTGAACGTGTGGATTGGTATCTACCGTAATCGACTATTTGGACCCTACCTTTTGCCTGCAAGGTTAAATGCTGCGACCTTCTTGGAATTTTTAAAAGCTGAACATGCAAATATGTGGGATGATGTTATGTTAGATTTACGAAGATTGGCCTGGTTCCAGCTTGATGGTTGTCCAGCTCATTATTCGAGAATAGTTAGAAACTGGCTGGACGAAAATTATCCAGAAAGACGGATCGGCCGTGGAGGACCAGTCGCCTGGCCTCCACGATCCCCTGACCTAAATCCATTAGATTTCTTTGTGTGGGGATTTCTAAAAGAAAAAGTGGACCAGACTCCCGTAACCACAAGAGATATGCTAAAAGACAGAATCAGGAATGCATGTGATGAAATAAGGCCTTATTTGAATAATGCTATACCACGTTCGATCATTCGTAGATGTGAATTGTGTATTGAACAATTGGGTTTACATTTCGAGCAACTACTTTAGATTTTGTATGTTTGTCCTAACTATCCAATAGCATTTTAGTCGTAAATAATTAATTTAATTTGTTAAAAATAATATTGGAAAATTAAACAAATTAATATTCTGTTTTTTGTGTTTATTTGGAGTTAGGAATTATTGTTGTGTTTAAATACACAATCTAAACGATCATCTTAATTACTTGTAATGACCAAATCGAAAATGTAAAAAACAATATTATTTTCCCATAAATAATTAAAAATGCATCGAACCTTAAAAATCGAAATATCTCAAAAATGGCTAACTATAACGAAAACTCATAGGAGAGCTTTTTTATGCAGAAAAGTGCGAAGAATCAGTTTTTTTATTCAAAAAGCAAAACATTGCACTAAGAAAAATTTTTCGGTCATTTTAATACACTACAGGTACAGTAGAGAGCGCCCTCTAGCGGCTACAGTAAAACTATGCCAATGGTTCGTTTTGTCGTACCAAAAAACCCTTGTATACCAATTTTCACTGTTATACATCAAATATTATTCGAAATATTTAAAAAAAACTATTTTAAAAAGTAAATTTAAAGACCCTGTATTTCGGAAGTCACGCATTTTTCGACCTATGTTTATATAGACTTTATGCATTAATTTTAAAAGTTCTATCGAATCTTAAAGTTATGCAACAATAAACTGAAACACCCTGTATAGTCTTGTTCGTACAGCTGTCGCCAACCTATCAGTGATCGTGTCCAAGATGCCGCCACATAAATTCCGTCCATTCTCTACGCTATATAGACGGAATTCACACGGCCGGATCCCAGACACAGTCACCGACCACTGTACGAACAAACACCCAATAACAATGGATCCAGATTTATCAGAATCCGGGTATTACTTTCAAAATCAATATAACCATCACTAGGAATACCTAACGAAGCCTCTTAATACCACGAAAACGCCTTTCTTTCTAGCCGCAACATAATCGTCGTAATTAACGGGTCCTCCTCTAGATCCCACAATGTCAATGCGGGTGTTCCCGAGGGATTGGTCTTGGCTCCGATATTGTCGCTCTTACATATCAACCTCCTACTATCGTGTATGGTCAATCCAATCCACAGCTTTGCTTATGACAGCACTCTACATACAGGAACAAGCCGATCTCTGCTGGTGATCGGGAGAAAAGAAGACTAGCAGCAACTTCCTCTTATCAGTGCTTGGGGGTACAGTTTAATGCTTCCAAAATTCAGTACTGTATCTTGACGAAGAAGAAGCCTCCTAGCGCTCATCCGGTTTCGATGGAGTTCTACCAAAGAGTCATTCATTTCGCCTGGTCGGAGCCCAGATCTCCGAGGACGAACACATATCGTCAATAACGGCAGCTGCTGGCTATTTGTTTAGAGCTAAGATGTACTTTTCTCCACATGACCTGTTCAAGGACCAGATAAGTCGTAGCCTCGAGTACTGCTCACATGTTTGGCCCCGATCACATTATCCATGCTCGACGAAGTCTCAGGAATCTTTCGCACCGGCGGACCGTCGGCGATCCAGCTCTCTTCTACCGGTACGCCAATGGGCTTTGCTCCTCAGAGTTCTCCTGCCGCCGCGCGATGTGCCCGTCAGACAGACCCACCTGACTTCGGCCTCCCATCCTAACTATGTCGAACTACGTAGATCCAGAACTGGTCGATATGACCGCTCCTTTCTAGGGTATCGAACAAGCTACATTAGGATGCTTTTCCCAGTTCTACTAGCCTTGGGCAGTTCAAGAATTGGATTAACAAATTTTCATTGCAGCCGCGGTGCCCTGGCATTCAGGCTTCTGCCTGCGCGGCTGCTTCGGGGTAAAAAAATAGACTGTCAGACAGATCAAATACATTCGTCTGTAATAGGGTCGACAACCGTGTCATGATCTATGGCTACTATCTATTTATTTATTTATTTATTTATTTCCAACAGGTGAAACCCAATTACAGGAAATGCTGAAAACAATAACAATTAAAGAGACATGGTTCTTGGTCTTAAATCTATAGTATCACACATGCTAAATAAGATTGGATGATCTATAGCAGTTAATAATCGATGCACAACTGTCACTGTAAATATCACACGATTCAGTAACACTGTTCATTACGCAGCACATGAGATTAATTGGCGATTTTGTCATAACATTTGTATGGCCAGCTTGACAATAGAATGCCGTTTGTTGTCGACTCCCTAGCCTTGGAACGCGGAAACATATTTTTTCAAGTAAATTTTGATAGTCAATTTTATTGTGAATGAGGCCATACAAAAACGACAAAGCAAATATGTTTCGTCTTGTTGACAGTGAATCCAAATTGAAAAACTCTAATAGGGCACTATGGTCACAACCTCTTTCTGGATAAGAAACTGTGCATTTAAGGTGAACATACTTTAAAGCTTTACGTTGAATGGCCTCAAGGATCACGACAGAATTTTGGTATATAGGAGACCAGATCAGAGCCGCATACTCCAACTTGCTCCTGACAAAAGTAAAAAATAGAGTCATTAATGTATCAACATTGGAGAAACCCTTCCAGTTTCTGATACAGAAACCAAGTAGTCGAGTGGCAGCCGGCGAGATATTGAGTATATGCTCAGTAAACGTTAGCTTGGTATCAAAAATGACTCCAAGGTCTCTATAAGAGGTGCATCTGTCTATAACCTGACCTTTGATGTTATAATTATCATAAATTAAACAGTTAACCTTTCTTGTATAAGTCATAACTTTACATTTCGAAACATTCAGACTGAGACAGTTTCGTGAACACCATGACGAAATTAGAGCTAAGTCATCTTGCAACATGACGCAATCCTCGACTGTCTTGACTGACGTGCAGATTTTAAGGTCATCAGCGAAAAACAAATGGAAACACTTCAGTTCAAAATACAAGTCATTAATAAATATCAAAAACAATAATGGACCTAGATTTGACCCTTGAGGTACCCCGGACGTGGCCCGATAGTAACTCGACCTATGACCACCATATTCGACAAATAACCTTCTATCCCTCAAATATGAATTCATGAGCGTCAGCATTGCATCAGACATACCCACTGTTTTAAGCTTATCCAGAAGTGCATAATGATCAACTTGATCAAACGCCTTCTGAATATCTGTGTAGATGACATC